GTGAACGTTGTTCACGACTCTATCACAATCCTGGTCACCCAGTCTCGGGCTATCGTACGTATACCCTCGTCCCTTAAAGTCCCAACAATTTCTAACCAAACCTGCCAATAGATAGCATGAAGTGCACAAAACCCGATCCAATCACCAGTGTTGTCCGGGCTCTCACAACTCCAGCTACGAATGGTGGACAATATATCTCCTTGCAGCGGGATCAAGTTCGAGCAGATTTTCCTTGCTTCTCGCCAGATCTCCTTCACGAACTCGCATTTAATAAAAATATGATCGACGTTCTCCTCATCTTTGGTGCAAAGACTGCATCTGTTTGCTAAAAGCACTCCTCTTCTCTGCAGCTTGTCCAGCGTCAATATTCTTTTGTGAGCCACCTCCCACATAAATGCGTTCACCTTAGAAGGGGTGAACTTCCTCCACACCGAATTGCTAGGGAAATCAGCAACCCCCGGGAACCTTTCATCCACCAAGAACCTGTACATAGATCGAACAGAGAACACAGAATCCATTCATGTGGCCAAACCAACCGGCTTGGACCACATGACAAACAGTGATAATCGATATGGCTTAATAAGATAAATATATTCTGCCTTTCCCTCTCCGCACCCCCTCTCAAATGAAATTTCAAATTAAGATTCCAATCCAAACTCTAACCTGAACGAATGACCACATCGGAGATCCAAGCATCAGGCGAGGCAGCAGCGGCAACAACCCACGGAAAAGACTCTGCAAGAATCATGTTCGGGATCCAGCAATCGTTCCAGAAGGAGACCCAAGCCCCTCCTCCCGGGTCAATATACCCTGCTTTCCAGAAGTCACCATAACCCTTCGAGATATTCGCCCAGACCGATCCCCCAAAACCACTCCTGCAGTTTTTGCTCCTCCAACCTGAATTTTCAGACGGGTACTTTATGTTGATAAGAACCCTCCACCAGCTATCTCTTTCGACCGTAAATTTCCAAAGCCATTTGGCCAACAGGGATTTGTTAAAGCTACCGAGGTCTTTAATTCCCAGCCCCCCCCCCCCTTTTCTTTTTTGGCTTTGCACAAATCCCAACTGATGAGAGGGATTTTGTTCACCTCCCCAACACCACTCCATATAAATCTTCTTTGGATGGTCTCCATTCTCCCTATAACCGATTTAGGAGCTCTGAGAAGAGAAAAGAAATAAGTAGGTTGCCCCGTGAGAGTAGAACTATTCAGCACAAGGCGACCACCGAATGACAAATATCTCTCTTTCCAACCCTCCAGCCTCTTCTCGAACCTACCAATTATCGGCTCTCAAGTAGACACCGCATTCACTTTAGCTCCAAGAGGGAACCCAAGATATTTCGACGCGTCCGAACTCCAATTGCATCGGAATATGGCAGCATAGTAATCTGGGATGCAAACATCTCCAACCGGGATCATAACTGATTTATCTAGATTGATTCTGAGGCCAGTGACAACTTGGAAACAAACCAGAGTAGCGAGGATGTTCAGAACCTGATCAGGAGAAGCCTCACAGAAAATAAGGGTGTCGTCAGCGAACAGCAAATGGGTGACCTCACCTCTATTATTGCTTTCATCCATAAAGAATCCCGTCAGTTTACCCTCCACCTGCAGTTTATCAAGCATGAAGGAGAGAATATCCATAATGAGAGTAAATAGGCCAGGGGAGAGGGAGTCGCCCTGACGAAGCCCCTTTTGAGGTTTGAAAAAGCCTTTTGCTTCCCCGTTAATGAGAATAGAAACCACCGGAGAGCACATAGTGCCCCGAATTCACTCCAACCACTTAAGCGGGAACCCCAGAGCAACCAGAACCTTGAAAAGACAATCCCAACTCACATTGTCAAAAGCCTTTTCAATATCAAGCTTGAACATGAGACCGGGCTTACCACTTTTCTTAAAACTATCCAACAGTTCAAAAGCTATGAGGCCGGCCTCTGAGATCTGTCTACCCCTCACTGAAGCATGCTGATTATGCGAAACAAGCTTTGGAAGAACCATACTGACTCGACGAGCACGAACCTTGCTGATAATTTTGTTCAAACTCCCCATCAGGCTAATAGGGAGGAGGTCCTTAACATCCTCAACAGAGTCTCTCTTAGGGACGAGACACAGAAATGAGTGGGTTGCACAATCAGGAAGGAAACCTGTCGAGTAGAACTCGCTGAAAACATTAGTGAACTCCTCCCGAATAAGAGCCCAACCTTTCTTATAGAATTCCCATGTAAACCCGTCTGGTCCCGGAGCTTTCCCGCCATCAGTGTCACCCAAGCTTGCCCAAATCTCATTCTCGACAAAGCCTCGAGTAAGAAATCGACCATCTTCCTCATTAAGTTTCTTCTCCCCATACTCGCCCGGGAAAGGGCCGCACCTGATGGTTTCACGAAAAGTCTCTGTATAGTAAGACACAATGCCCCTAGCAAGGTCCTCTCTTCCTTCAAACCTGACTCCCTCAATATTAATGCATTCGATCAACTTCAGCTTTCTCTTGTAGTTAGCAACCCTATGGAAGAAACTAGTGTTACTGTCTCCTCCCTTGAGCCATAACTCCTTAGATAATTGCCTCCAATAAATTTCTTGATAATACAGTACTCTACTAAGCACCACTTTAGACCCCAGTCTAACTTGCTGCTCCTCGTCACTAAGGGAACGAGACTCCTCCGCCAAGTCCAACTCCTTGATCTTAGCAAGAGCTTCTTCAATTTGGACGTTAATATTTCCAAAAACATTCTTGTTCCATTCCTTTAAATTCCGCTTGATGTCCTGTAACCTTTTGACCCACAGGAAAGCCCTACCACTACCAATTAACGGGTTAATCAACCAAGCCTCCAGGCTCTCATAAAATCTCCCATCTTCCAACCACATGTTTTGGAATCTCCAAGGCCTCTTGACTCTATAACAGGCTCCCCATTTAATCAAGAGAGGCATGTGGTCAGATTCAACCCGTTCCAAGGCGGACAGCGTGCAGTCGGAGAATAGGATGTCAAATGCTGTATTGATGAGAACCCTGTCGATTCGCGAAGCAGACCCTGTTTCATCACTTCTACTCCAAGTGAAATTGCACCCGCCCAGAGGAAGCTCTATAAGGCTGTTAATGTCGATGAAATCATTGAAATTCCCCATAAGAGCTGCACTACGTCTGCCACCTCTGTAATCTTCATGACAACGCACCAGGTTGAAATCACCTGCAATGCACATAGGGTTAGGAACTTATTGACACAGCAGATGAAGGTCTCTAAGGAACTCGAGTTTCTGCTCCCTCTCTTGCGGACCGTAAACAACCACGAGAGACCACACTTTGAGAGAAGCCGACAAAACTCGGACAAAACCCTTATCCCAGTAAACTACAATTCCCCCAGAGCTGTTCTCCGCATTTTTAGCAACCCATCCACTATCCCGATTTCCACTAATGCTAGAAATTAATTCCCCATAGCACTGATCCCATTTAGTTTCGACTAATCCCATATATGGCAAAGGCTAGCGTACGCCCGGGCGTACCTTAGTCTACCGTACGCCCGTTGAGTTTTACTATTAAGATCATGAATTAACCGGAGTTTTTTGGCATGATACTATACCCTAACCTCTAATGGATAAATCCCAGTCCCTAATTTTCCAACCCAACTCATGAGATTCATTTAATCTTAAAAAGTAAATCAACAATAATTTTGACAAATCAAGACCGTTGATTTTCATTTCAAGATTAAATGAATATTATGCTTTGGATTAGTGAATTAGGGACTGGGGTTTATCCATTAGAGGTTAGGGTATAGTATCATGCCAAAAACTCCGGTTAATTTATTATCTAAATAGCAAAACTCAACGGGCGTACAGTAGACTAAGGTACGCCCGGGCATACGCTAGCCTGAACCATATATATATATGATGATTAGTGAACTATTCGGTGCACCCACTTTTTTGGGTGCATTCAATGCACTCGCTTCATAATCGTCATTTCGAGAATGTGATTCATATCAAAACGATATGAATGGTCGCTTATGATATTATTAACAAGAAACACATGAATTTGAAAAAAAAGTCATTCAAGATTTACTTTAATTTTAGGATTAGGGTTTATAATTTGGGGGGTTTGGGTTTGTGTTCAAAATTGAAGGCTTAGGGGTTAGGGTAATGAATTAATTAGTTTTGATCATATGTTATATCATCATTTCAGACTAATGTTACCAATTTAAATCCAAAATTTATTGTCTTAAGGCTACTATTAGAGTTGGGTGTATTGAATGCACTCATTTTTGTGGATGCACCGAAGTAGCCACCTATATTATATATATATCTACCATAATTGTATAGTTTGAACAATCATACATAACAACTGTGGCAGACCTAGGATTCTCGTATAGGTGTCTCAGTCGATAAAACTAAATAAAATAATAAAATAAATTTTAATTATATTTTACTGTGAAAGACAACGAGAAGTGGGATTGAAAGAGGTAAAGGGAACACTGGGGTTTTTTTATAAGATAGTAGTTCATATGCAATCTGACTCCCGATCAAAGAGCATATTTGTCATTAGGTGGACAACTATGTGAAAGCTACAAGGATCAAGAAGAAACGAAACTTATTCATCAGGTAGAGAGAGAAAAGAGAAACTTCCTTATGATTACCCCTGCATAAGACCTAAGAGTAATAAATCATTGCTTCTAAATGCTTAAACAATGGAAATTAAAGAACCCCAAATATGTCATAAGTTAACTAAAATTTAAAATAAATAATATATATTTACATATTTTGGAACTTTATGACACCAATTTCATCGTAGTTCATTAAAAGTGTGTCGATTACAATTATTGAAGGTGTGTCGGAAGTCTGAAATTCCAAAAAGTTATTCTGACAAAACATGGATCTCTCACAAACATGGGTCCGCCCTGCATAACAACTATGTATTCTATTTTGTTGATACAAGACGAACTGGTGCAGGGTCGTTATTGAAACCATTGAATTCGGAATATGGTAAAGTAGCTCCTGGATGGGGAACTACTCCTTTGATGGGTGTCGCAATGGCTTTATTTGCGATATTCCTATCTATTATTTTGGAGATTTATAATTCTTCAGTTTTACTGGATGGGATTTCAATGAATTAGATTTACGAGAAGTGCTAAGTCTTAGCTTTTCAATATAAAAGTAGGTCTCGGATTGAGCTATGTTGCGACTAAACAGAGCTAGCTTGTTACCCGGGGCCGGGAAAACCATAGTGCCCTCGTCGAGTTTGAACAATTAGCAAAGATGTAGATATGATAGTTGTCTCAAGTAGGGCTGTCCGGTTGGTTATCTTCCATCACCGAACCGAGCCTATTATACAAAGGGAAACTGATATAAACTGTTTTCCCAAAACTGAAACCAAACCCATTAAGGGCTAACAAAAGATTGAGAAACTCCTTACCGGGTTCGATTTTAGTTAGAACAAATTGAAATATAACCTATATTGTATCCTTTATAATAGTTTTTGGTTAGAGTAAAGTTTGGTTTATCATTGATTTCGATTTAAATCAAAACTGGTAAAATTCAAAACAATTAGGACCAAAAACCAAAAGCAATAAGATTCCTATTAGTTCGGTTTCTGTTTAAACAGAAAAACTAAACACAATTTCCCAGCCCTAGTCTCAAGTCAAGATGTTGTATGGAGTGGTGGTGTAACTGTATCATGACGTATTTAAATATCTTAAAAATTAGTTTAGGTACTTTAATTTACCTCTTGTGTTAATATCGTATTGCAGTGACCTGTTCAAAACCAAAGACGCGAAGGATGCTGTTAGGCTGGTCCAAAGAATTGCAGACTCGATTATGGAAATCGTGAAAAATAGAGAAGAAAAGGTGAAAAACAGAGAGGTCGATGGCTTTGGGAAAGATTATCTTGGACTACTTCTCAAGGCTTATCATGATGAAGGCCAGTCCAAGAAGATATCTGTAGAGCAATTGGTCGATGAATGCAAAACTCTATATGTGGCTGGACAGGAAACAGTAAATACTTTGCTCTCTTGGATGATTCTGCTTTTATCAATCCATCAAGATTGGCAAGAAAAGGCAAGAAAGGAGGTTTTTAGTGTATTTGGTCGTGATAAAACCCCTGATGCCGATGGGATTACAAGGCTCAAACTGGTGAGCATACTCTTTTGCCCTTTGAAATTTTTTTTTTTCTCATGAGTAATACAACTATTGATTAATATGTTTTAAGAAATGGGATGCCAGTTAATTTGGATTGTGGAAATCTATAAGAGTTTTTATGGAGGAAATGACTTGAAAAAAATTGAGGGAAAAAAAGATGAAGCAAATTACATAGTTAGGGTTATTGCGACTTCATCGTGTTGTAGATATAAGTAATAGTGTACGGTCCATAATTGAATTTCTCACAGTAACTCAAGTTATTGAGAGTAAATGGTATTTGAGTTGGTATAAGAGTCTTCAATTATTGAGAGATTTTATGTTCGAACCCGACGACCTCATTTGTTAAGCAGCTTAATAGGCTGATCCGTGCGAATTTGAATCCAATATGAGTTAGACTTTGTTTGAGATACGTATGAAGAATTTAAATTATTGGTAGTAAATGGTTTTGACATTGAGATCCGTCTTTTGATATAGTTCATGTAACCTAGCTACTCTCTCTTGTTTTCAATCTTCTGTTACAGATGGGTATGATCATGAATGAAACTTTAAGGTTGTACTCCCCAGTATACTCAGGATTCATGCGTGATGTCGATAAGGACATCAGACTTGGGAAGTTCGATTTGCCTGCGAGTGTCCAGTTTCACATTCCAATCATGGCGATTCACCACGACCCTGACATTTGGGGAGAAGACGTTAATCTTTTCAAACCGGAAAGGTTCTCAGAAGGAATCGCTAAAGCTACAAACAACAACCCAACCGCGTTCATGCCCTTCGGGATGGGACCCCACATCTGTGCAGGCTTCAACTTCGCCACAAATGAGGCTAAGATAACCATTGCTATGATCCTTCAGCGCTTCACTTTCAGCCTCTCCCCGGGCTATGTCCATTCTCCTTTTCCTTTTTTGGCAGTTAGGCCAGAGAAGGGGGTTCAAGTTATCATCAATGCACTGTAAGTAGGGCTGTTAATTAATTAATGAACCAAAGCCGCTCATGAACGGTTTGGTGTCCGACTCGAGAAAAATTAGTTCGAGACTCGATTCGTCTTAATCGAACCGGATCGTGAACAAGCTCGTTAACTAAACGAGCCGAATTCGAGCCATACCATGTTAAGCTCGAAAGCTCGCGAACAAGCTCATTTAAAGGTTTGACATAAAAAAGGATTGGAATTCATGGATTTTATGATTGAAATTGGGATAAATATTGTGTTTTGTTTTGCTATACTTTGCTATAGGTTTGAATGTATATTTTGTGCTCAGTTCTAACTCGATCTTGAGCTATAATTAACATTTTATGCGCTAAACTCGATTTTGGGCTCGTTAAACTTATTTGGCGAGCCGAGCTCGAGTCAAGCTCGAGCTTTCATTTTTATAAACGAGCCGAGCTCGATCTTGCATATTAAAGCGCTTGACGAACACGAGCCAAACTCGAGCCGAACCCGAACTATGATAAAGTTCAGCTCGGCTCAAATCATTAACATCCCTAACTGTAAGCATAAGATAGATATAGTTGCTAATAATGTGTGTTGGGGTTACTAGTAAAAGAATTACAGTTGTCTTTCTTTGTTGTTTTGCATTACAATGAGTTTAATCCACGGATTAGATAAGTTTCTTTGTATGGAATGACTAAATAAGTTGTAGGCACTGATCTGTTTTTGGCCCTCTGCTTCTTTTTCCGTTTTTTCTTCTCTGCTTTTGTTGTATTTCCTTGGCCGTTGTCTCGGCAGGTTTTTCTTCGGCTGTCTTCAGGTTCAGTTCTGCTGAACCTTGGACTTTTTATTATTTTTCTGTTGCTTAATTTAATATTCATCTTCATAAAAACAAAAGCTAATGATGCAATTTTTTAGGCAGGGTGGGAGCAAAGATTCCAACTTCCCCATGAGGGGAAATAATATTTTCAAACAAAATAATAATAAGAAGAAGATAGAATATTATTTATTATCTTAAACGTATACGATTCTCTTTGAGATTAATAAAATCAATCAAAATGGCATCTAAACTAAACGTTCCCACTAACAAGACTATAGGGGAGAAAATCATCACTCATTTTATTGCGTAGTTTGATCTTCACTAATATCATTGCAGAAAAAGCACATTCACCACTAGTAGTAGAGACGGGAATAGTCAAAACAAAGATGAATAAACCGATCGACAAAATCAAAGTTCTTTGGACTTTCCAGATTCCGCTAAACCATGACACAGTTGAGCAACAAATGATAGATTTACTAAAGAACCATGCCTAAGAGCACCAACATGAAAAATCTTCAATTGGAATGTCAATCTATCTATTTTCTTTTCTGAGAGTGATATTTTCTTTATGTAAATAACATCAATGTCGAAGGCTTTGTATCTGTGAATATGATCCAAACTCGAGCTCAAATTCAAAAAACACGTATAATTCCTAAACTAAATTAGGTTGGTGCCCCACCTGTTGGTCGGAATGTTAATTGAAAAGAATGTACTTACAACATGTATCTTAATTTGTTTAATTATTTGAAATGCTTAATTTTGTATGACATTAAGCTGACAACAAAATTAATTTTTAAATCATAATAACCTTTCATCAATTACCAAACAATGTATTCTTAACGATTATAGCTCTAATGAATTTTCATGATCTGTCTATTTATTTCATGTAAGTATAAATGATGCGGTGTGAGTAGTTATGCATTAGAAGACCTTGTGGCATATGAGTCTAGACATTCCTAGGATTATAACTCGATTTCTCACATAAAGTTTTTTGCGCCTTTGCTGGGGGATTCTAATCATATATAAAAGTATCTAATCATCTTATGTCTCTTTTTAGTTTTAAATTTCTTTTGTTTTTCAAAATATCATATGAATCCAGTAAGTACCAGAAGAAAAACCAAAAACCTTAAGATCGTGCAAGAGATCGTCCAAGAAAGAGGAGCATCGAGTTCATCCATATTGAGAATGAAGAAAGCGGCATCTAGCTTGGGAAAAGAGGAGCCTTCAAGCCACACTAATCTCGAGCCAAGCTTAGGTAAGGAGGAAAACATTGATGAAGATGGCAATTTCGATTCTGAAGAAGATAGAGCCTCTTTTACATCTTCAACACCATAAATGGCTGGAGAAGAAGGAGAAGGATGAGTGGCCATCCCACTTACTATGTCTGAGTAATCCAGGACGAGAGCATCAAACATCAACTCAAGCACCATCAACCAATATTACAATCCGCACTCAACTAATCCAAATAGAACAAGCTGGATTCGCAAGGAGTGATGGTGATCCTATGCAACACTTCAAGATATTCATGGAGATCGCCAACTCTATTCCACAAGATGAAACTACCGAGGATTGAATTCAACTTTGACTTCTCCTATTCTCTTATGGAGGAAGGGCAAAACAGTGGCTCGAATACCATCCACCAGGCACCTTCACCACATGAGACCAATGTAGTCAAAATCCCGATTTTAATCTTAAAATCTTACGATTCTACGATCTTAAATGTGGGTTCTTATCCTAATTTTACTAAAAAATCTTTCAACCTTAAAATCCCATAATATCTTAATTTAAATCTATAAAATCCTTGAAATCTACGATTCATACGATTTTGTATGATATATGGGTTCATGTCAATCCGAGCAAAATCAGATTAGTTGGATTGGATTTTTTTCACAAACTGGGTCACGTTCACTTTCCCCGACCCAACATCGTGGACAACACAAACCTAACCTGACCGATCAAGAAAGAAATGCATCAATCAATGAATTACCTTAATTTACTAAATGATGGCGATCAAGGAAATATGGTTTGTGCTAAATGTACTTCAAGTGATGCTAAAAATAATTATATCATTGCTCAATCAAATAGACAATGAATCTATGAGGGTGAGGATGATGGTCTTGAGGAAGTATATTCTAAGGTTGATCCTAACAATCTTATATAGTTTTTTACACTTACCAATTAACTAGAATAATTGATTTCTATGAGGTTTTAGTTTGCTTAATTGTGTGTTTATGTTGGTGGTCTCTCGGTTGTATTGGCCCTTTTTATCTTTTTATCTAATAAAATAAGTTCACCCTTACCAAAAAATTTGTGGATTTATTTGTGTTTATTTAGCAAAAAACTTATCTTAATAAGTAATTAAGTGATATGTGGTTTATTTTTATTCAGGATATGCATTGTTATCACTATCCGACATTTAAAGTGTAAATTTTAATATGAACCTTTAAATCTTAAGATTTTAGGATTTTACTTCGGTTTTCGATTTTATGTAACATCACAATTTTGACCGCATTACTTGGAAGAATCTTGCTCAAGCATTCATCGCGGGGTCCTTTACATCATGGAGGATGGAGGAGTTTAAAGATGAGATCAATCCATTTGAACAGAAGGAAGGATAAAATTTCTATAATGTTTGAAGAAGAATTCAGGAGTACATCAAGGCATGCCTTATCATTGAGAGAAAATTTCTATAATGTTGTGATAAAATTTCGATAATGTCTAGAAAAACAATCACGGTAACCCATTCGAAATTTACAATGAATCACTATCTCTTAGTCCATTTTAAAATGTGGGGTTGAAATGGTTGATATGTTTTGCCTTGATATACTTACTGCTTGCTACATGATTAGTCATTCAGCAAAATGTTTATGATATATGCTTAAACAATTTTGAAAGTGTTAATGATGTTTTTCATCTAATAACTTTAGTTATCCCATACAAGCATAATCACTTCTCATCTTACTTTGAATCAATGAGTCTAGTAATCATCACCTAAACAATGGAGGATAGTGTAGTGGCTATGATGAGTGTTTTAGTCAATCAGATATAATGACAATTTAATGAATCTGGATGCCATGTTGATTGATCGGTTCCAAGAACTCAAAACTCTCTCTACGTTTGAAGAAGCACTCAATCTCTCTAGAACCCTCTCTCAAAAATATGTCCTCTCTCCTTTATATAGCTTACGAGTGCACGTTTCATGGTTTCACATCACGCCCGTGAAGTGTGCAATGAAACCATGATCTCAACGAAAATGTTTCGTTTCATTAACAAACTTCACGGGTTCGCTACTGACTTCACAGTTTGGTATTGTGATCCTTACAATGTCCGCGAGAAACAAAATCTCTTCGAACTTTGTGATCTTCATGATTTCCACTTCGACATTAGGTTTTTGCCCTGACAATTGTTGCCAGCCCATGATTCTTGCACTCTTCTCCACTTTGCTCCCATTTCATAACCTTTTTGTCTGACTTTCGATCCTTTCGCCCATTCTACTTGCTAAGATCTAAAATATGCCAAAACAAGACCAAACCTAGCAGAAAATAGCTCCAAGGACGGTTCAAAACAAGTCAAACGGCTCTAGGCAAGGGGTATAAAGTTTATAATCTATCTCAAATCAAACTCCCCCACACTTTAACGTTTGCTTTTCCCCAATCAAACTTACTCAAAGCAATGAAAATTGTAGGACAATCACAATGGTATGTACTATCAATCATCGGTAGCGCCTAAAAACGTTGGAAGTCGGGTAGATTTTACTTTTATCTCTTCGTGCCAACACACACTCAGATAAGGAACTTGTCAACTAAGTAGATCTAGACACTTCACGTGTGCACTTGGGGACTCATAGAAAACGTGTGAAAAGCAAAGGACTCCATGGTGGTGCTCTAACTTTCATTCAGAAGAGGACTCAAATTTTTGAGCCTCAACTTAAACTTTATCGTACATGCCATCACACTTTTGAAAATTTTCGAATTAAGTTATCTCTCCCTCGAACTAAGAGCAAAAGTACATTGCCTTCTCTATGAAAGCCTCATGTGGGGAAATGAAGGTTGGATTCATTGCCTTCCAGCCTTCACTCCTCGTCTCAATAACATACCAGTTCCACACATGTGTGCACAAACAAGAACCGAGGTCTCTTTGACTTGCTTAAAGGCACATTTCTCCTTATCATACAACTCCTTGAGGACAAGAGGTGTTTGGGGGACGAA